TGAAATAGAAAGTATCCAAACTGGATGACATGATTTTATATCTAGAAAATCCTAAGACATATATGCAAAAGCTATGACTGAGTTCAGCAAGGTTGGATAAAAGATAAGTATTTAAAAAATCAATTGTTTCTGCAGTGAGCCTTGAAGCCTAGGGTGCCGGCCTGGGTGGAGCAGCCGCAGGTGCAGATCTTGGTGGTAGTAGCAAATATATATATATAAAAAAAATCAATTGTTTCTATATATTTACAAGAATGATATGAACATAAAATTAGGAAGATAATTGCATTTATAGTAGTAACAGATAAAATAAAATATTTAATAAACAAAAAGTATAATAATTACATACTAAAAGTTATAAAACATTAACAGAAGATATTAAAAAACAAAATTAATTTAATGTGAATCAGTCCCTTCTACTCTTGGGAGTCAAGATCTACTTCTGAGATACTCTTGATTTTTTTTCTGTGCAGCTAGTAAAAAGGTTACTGTTGGGTCTCAAATATCATAAAGATTCTTTATTTTTATGGAGTTGGATCTTTTTCTTTAATGTTTGAAGTAATCAATGTTTCTTAAGCTTTAACGTGCACAGAAATTAACATGCATTACTTTGATTCAGTAAAAGAGTGGGACCCAGGGTTCTATATTCCTTGATAATGCAATATTGCTGGTCCTCATACCACTTTGAATAGCAATATTTTGAAGTAGTTGTATATATTCAATTGGCTGAATCCACTAGAAGAGGGAAGAAAGCAAACCCTAAAATGGGTACCAAGTCTCTATGTGGTACAAACAGTGAACTGCTCAGGGGCTAACTGGCAGTTCTCATCCATGCAGGGGTACCTTTGAAGGAAAACCTGACAATCTACTTCCAAAAAATTAGCTACTAAAAGCTTTTGAGGGGAGGCTGGTGGTAGTTAAAGGGTTGGGCTGTTAACCAAAAGATCTGCAGTTTGAGCCCACCAGCTGCTTGCTCGATGCGTGACAGATGTGGCAGTCTGCTACTACAAATATTACATACATCCTTGGAAACCATGTCACAGTTCTATCATCTCATAAGTTTGTTATATATGTCAGCATGGGCTTGATAGCAATGGGTTTTTTCATTATTTGAAAATCCTACAGAGATAGTTCTCTTGATATACAAGGGATTTCTTTGAATTGGGGTTGACTTAATGGTAACTGGTAAGATAGGTGGCAAATAGAGGATTGAAAATCTGATGTATCCTCTGTATTTTTCAAAACTGAGCATGTTATATTCCCTATCAAGAATTAAGAACACATATTTACCACCATCCCTCCATTACTGCTACCACTGGTTACCTGAAAAGATGCAGAACTGGCTACCTAAAAAGCCAGATTAAGGCTAACTCCATACAAGCACCTTTTAAAAATGTGTCAGTTTCACAGAGAGAAGCCCATAGAAAGTAACCATCATTTCTTCCTCTCTGCCTCTTCTCCCGTGTCTTTTACTCCTTCTTGCAGTCAGTGTTTCTCAAAGCGGCTTAGGGATCAATGGTGCTTGGCAATCTATCAAATAATGGTCTGCAGACAATTTGAGGAGAAAGTGGTGTAAGTTTTGATCACGTATATTTGAAAATTAGTAGATAAGATTTATTATGACTTTCAAAGACATTCTTTTAGCTTCTGAAGAGAGTACTGTTTGTTTCAAGTACCTATACTTTCATATCATAGGAGTTGCTTAAATTGGTTACACATGGATTTTGTTGCTACTATTATGTTTTGTGTGCTAAAATACAAATTTAGGAAAAAGAATTAATGGCTCATAGGAGTAAAGAATAAAAATAGGGACCAAAAATAAAAAAATAAAATAAATAAAAAATAAAAATAGGGACCACCCCCCAAATATACATTTAATTTAGAATGTCCTAGATGATAATAGTATTATCTTAGAATGAATAGGTTATGAACAGTGAATCTGGATTGATTAGTCTGCATTAGGAGGCGCCCCTTTATTTCCACTGCACTGTTTTTTTTTGCACTATGTCTTATGAATATTATAAAATAGAAATAAGGAATCACTAAAGTTTTCACATCATTTTCAACTATTCTGATAAATCAAAGACACCATGATGAATTCTGACCTTAAAAACAAACACCAAAACTATATACTAAGGAATTTCTTTTAATAAAGGTATAATTTGTTTCACCTAAAAAATTAATAACAAATATGCAGGGAGAAGCAAGACAATCTATTGGCAAAATTCCAACATCAGATAACACTACTAGAAATTACGTAGTATCTCACAGTGTACTGTGAGAAAGGATAAAAAGTATCACAGATATATGCTTCTAGATATTTTGTGTTACGGATAGCTGAAGTCACTAATGTGTAGAATATGAATCAATTCTTGGCAATTACATGTGTAATAAAGTAAATCAAGAAATACTAGGAGACTTCAAAAAGTTCATGGAGAAATTCCATTTTCTTTTCATTCATAGTCTATACACTTTGGAAGCACCCTTATTTTAAATAACTTTTAATTGTGATTACCAATGAAAACTTACGTTATAGAGAAATAATTATTTTCTTTTAACCAGCAATTATTTCTGCCCCTTGATGTAAAATTTAAAAGGCTGACTGGGACCAGTACGGCCAGAGCACTAATCATATGTGCAGCGACAAAGAGTACAGCACCCGAAAGCCAATTTACACAACTTCATTCACACAGACAACAGCCGGTATTTGACAATATGCCCTCTATTACTGAGTTAATATTAAAAAACACAGGACAAACTGTGAATAAAAGTCAAACTACAGCCCTTGAGCATATTACATCAAGAAAAAAAAAGAAACCTATGTAAGACTCTTTTCTATCCTGTTACGAGCAAAGATGCTAACAAAAACTTTTCAAAGGTAGGATGACAATTTCTTTTCACAACACTGATAATGTCAAGAAAACATTTGTTTGATTTCAAGTGGCTAACTCAAGTGTTATACTCCAAGACACAAACAATATAGCAAACAGCTTGAATCTTTCATTTGAGGACAAAATATCAGGTTTTTTTAAATATCACAATTTTTAAGGATATAATATGAAGGCTAACACATGAAACAAATGGCCTAAACAAAGAAACTTGGACTTTTTTCTAATTCTTGTCTGGTTGTAGAAAGGAACCAGTGTCTTAAAAAAACACACACAAATACACCAAACTCATCATTGAGTATATTTTGACTCATAGCAAACCTACAAGACAGAGTAGAATTGTCTCTGTGGGTTTCTGAGGTTGTAAATATTTACGGGAGTAGAAAGACTCATCTTTCTCCCTCAGAGCAGCTGGTGGGTTTGAACATCTACCTACCCTATGGTTAGCAGGCCAACATGTAACCTGCTGTGCCACTAGTATCTTAGGTATACTTAAAAGCCACATTCAATTACTGAAGTAAGCCTAAAAATATTTCTCAAAACTGAATTCAACAAGAAATTGAATAAAACCAAAATTCTACCCACTACCATCTCTCAACAAGAAATGTTCAACTTTACTCTTGAGTGACATACATTGATCAGTGCTTGAGCACTGTGTAACGCTGAGATCTTGTAATAATTTTTGGGTCTGTCCTTAATCTGAATATTTAAAATATCTAACAGAATCAATATATAGTGCCACTATTCCCAACAACCTATAAATAAAAGAGAGATAACTAGTAAAACTGAATAGGAAAAGAAACCAATTAAATATGAAGCCTTAACTTTAACATTAGTGAGCCAGATAAAAATGTGGTGAAAGATCAGTAATAATTACTTTCTCTGATATTTAAATTATTTAAAACATCTGCTTTGATCTTATGATTGATAACATTTGGATTATCCCTTTGTGTTCATCTAAAACCAGTAGTGTGCAGTATGCAGACTCACAAGTCCACGTATTCCAAATGTTTCAGATACATAATACAACTACAGGAATTTTGTTTATCGTGTTAACCTTCTCGCATTAGAAAAGCATTTCATTGTCTACATTTATACTTCATTGTTTTTTAAAAGAAACCTGAGTCTGATTTCAATGTGTAACCCAAAACCAAACCCATGTTGTCAAGTTGATTCTAATTTATAGCAAGCAACTTACTTATACAACAGAGCAGAACTGCCCTGTAGGGTTTCTAAGGCTGTATTTCTTTATGGAAGCCAACTACCATCAGTCTATCTCAGAGTGGTTGGTTAGTTTGAACCATCTATCTTTTGGTTAGCTGCCAAACACTGTAAACAGTATGCCACCAAGGTTCCTCAACATGTATAGCACCTAACAAAACACACTATATCTAACAATTCTTTACAAATTTCCTTCAAACCCCCAAACTCCACTCCTCTCAAAGATCTTCTTTCCTTCTGACTATCCCCAAACTTTCCAAGGATACTAAAAATGTTTAACAACTGACATGGCACAAACACCAAAGAAAATGGATACCAATTCATAACTGTATGGTCATTATGGAGCATGCAAGAAAAGATTATAGTGTCCTTTACACAGACTGCTCCCTGTTCTCAACACCTTTGGTTAGTCTTTGCCAATTCCCAGGAGAAAGTTAGCAGTTTTCATGAATAATAGCTACATAAAATGGATTTCAAGGATGAATTTAACTCCACAGTTTATTGAATTTTTCCTTTCTTTACTTTTACTCCTAAACAGAAAAATTAAGGGTAAGTACTAGAAAGAACACACTACTGTTTTCTTTCATCGACACCAAATATAACCAGAGAATGAGGCTCTTCATTACAGCTTTGTGATTTGATTTTTATCCACACAATTAACTATGAAAGTTCTTTCTCAGACTATTAAAAGTAGTTAAATTATATACAAATTAATGGATTTTGGGACATATCAGAGTATTAAAAATTGTTAGCAAAACAAATGACATTTAGAGAATAGTAGATAATACAGAAATTCACAAAAAACAAAGGATGGGCCATTTAAAAATAAACCTGAGATTATAAGACTTAAGTAATAACATAAAATGTTTATTCTGTTTATTAGGATCTTCTTACCCAACTTTGGAAAAACTATTAAGTATTCAGCATTGCACTGAGGACATGCCACTCTGGCTGTACTGTTTCCTCTTTGTTTTTCATCTACCCAGCGCTGTAGACAAGCCTGGTGAACCCATTTTGTAGATCCTCTGCACCTGCATGGTCTCACCCATTCAGCTGTTCTGTCATCTTCGTCAGTGGCAAAACACACCCAGCAACTTCTGTAAGTTAAAAGGAAAAATGATGATATTTATCTTTAAGACTTTGAGACTCCAACTTCGCTACTACCAAAAGACAGACAAACAAAACCAAACCTAGTGACCATATAGGACAGAGAATTGTTGCTTAGGGTTTCCGAGGCTGTTGTTTGGACTCACAAATTATCAGGAAAATAAAACCCTACTACAACACTTGTTTCTCTATCTAAAAATCACTTTCTTTATAACATGTATATTCAATGTAGTTTCATATTCAATATACTGTAATTACTTTTTCTTTAATGTTATTTTTAAATATACCAATTTTCAAATGTTTTCAACAAAAGACTTAAGACAAAGTCATTGTAATGAATTCTTTTTGGTGTGTTTTATTCCTTATTCCATTAGCAGACTATTCTCAAGTATGGATGCATGGGAGGCCCATGATATACTGAAATAATCAGATCTTGAGAAGGAGCCACCAATGGTCTGAGGCAGGTACAATAGAAGACTGTAAGGTTGGGATGTGAAGGGAATTAAGAATGAGCCACAACATGGAGGAAAGATGGCTCAAAAGGCATAAAACCGAATCAAGAATGAAACCATAGGAAAATTTAGGAAATGGGCTATAAGACTGAAAACTGTGAAGAAAGCTGATGGTGCCCGGCTATCAAAAAGTATAGCGTCTGGGGTCTTAAAGGCTTGAAGGTAATCAAGCGGCCATCAAGCTCAGAAGCAACAAAGCCCACATGGAAGAAGCACACCAGCCTATGCAACCACGAGGTGTCGAAGGGATCAGGTGTAAGGCATCATCAGAACAAAAAATCTCACCATAGTGAATGATGGGGGCAGTGCGGAGTGGAGATCCAAAGCCCATTAGTAGGCCACTGGAGATCCCCTTGCAGAGGGGTCTCGGGGAGGAGACGAGCCAGTCAGGGTGCGATGTAACAATGATGAGAAATACAATCTTCCTCTAGTTCCTAAAGGTTTCCTCCCCGCTCCCACTACCATGACTCGAATTCTATCTTGCAAGACTGGCTAGACCAGAGGAGGTACACTGGTACAGATAGGAACTGAAAATACAGGGAATCCAGGATGGATGAGCCCTATAGGACCAGTGGTGTGAGTGGCAAAACAGGGAGGGTAAAGGGAGAATGGGTAGGAAAGAGGGAACCGATTACATGGAACTGTGTGTGACCTCCTCCCTGGGGGACAGACAACCGAAAAGTGGGTGAAGGGAGAAGTCGGACAGGGCAAGATATGACAAAATACCCATTTATAAACTATCAAGGGCTCATGTGGGAGAGGGGAGCGGGGAGGGAGGGGAAAAATGAGGACCTAATGTCGGGGGTTTAAATGGAGAGAAAATGTTTTGAGAAATGATGTACAAATACGCTTTACACAATTGATGTGTGTATGGATTGGGATAACAGTTGTATGAGCCCCTAATAAAATGTTTAAAAAAAAAAAAAAAAGACTGAAAACTGACCGAAAGCTAAAAAAATGAAGTTATATCTAGTTAAGAGCTATACTGTCTAATATGGTGGCTAGTGGTTAGTAACTACTATACTGGAGAGCACAGATAGAGAATATTTTCATCACTGAGGAAAGTTCTAGCCGATACTAATGAGCAAGTATTACGAGGAAGGGTAGATAACAAAATCCCACAAACTACGTACAAAATAAGAAGAGAGCTACAGGAAGAAGGCTTTAGGAATGTGATTATATGGAGAAATAAACTGAGTGGAGAGAAGGTGTCTGAGAAATCAGTGAAAAATTGCTTTTGCAACCCACCTAGGCCCTGTGATTTATATCAATTAACATAAATTTGTAAGTGTCCTAACCGTTATTTTTTTTTAAACAAGTTAACTGATAAGCACCTAATCAGAGCAGCTGGTGGGCTTGAACTGCCAACCTTGTGGAACACAGAGCCACCAGGGCTTCTTAAAGAAGCAGAAAGGAAGTTTAATGTACAGCATGTTTCTTGTTTTGTAGGAGCAAACAGTATCCTATATTTTCTAGGGAAAATCACTCTTCAGTCCTGTATATAAAATAGGCAATAGAACAGACCCTACCAGCAGTCTATGATGAGTAATCTTTAAATTGTCTCCACTCTCACATTTCAGTGATCAAGAGCCTGAGTCAGTAAGCTCTTATTAGAGTGAGCTTGAGAATTTTGCTAGGAAAATCAGTACACAGATTTTCTTTTTTTCTGCTGGCTAAGGATGAGGGGTGGGTGGGTGGGTGTGTTTTGCCAGGGGAGGAACCAGCTAATAGGAGAACCAGTGGCTCCTACACCCAAAGAAGTGGTCATTTCTGTGTGAACTATATGTTTCTCTCAGTCTTTTTTTCCTCTTCCCACTCTCTCCAGTTCCCTTGACTCCAGGGGTGCTTAATCTGATGCATAAGCATCACCTGGGGAGTGTCAAGAAATGTAAATTATCAGGCCCCACTCAGACCTACTTAATCGGAAATTCTAGGGAATAGGGCTCCACACTGTTTTAACAGGCCCTCAAGTGATCACAGTGACTGTAAACCTTGGAGAACTTCCATTCTAGCCATCCTTCTTTGTTTTTCTTAACTTTGCGTCTATCCTTTGTAATTCTTCCTAAAAACAAGAAATACAAAAATGGTATGTCTTTTTATACTCACTGTATACTAACATTTAAAAATTAATTGGTTAAAGTTCAAGAGTAATGGCATCACATTTATCATCAAAATGGGAATTTCAAGACCTACCTTGAAGTACAATGCTATCTGTGATCATATATATCCACATACAAGAAAAATCAGTCAATACAACTATCATTCAGTGGTATACGTACCAGTTATCATGTACCATGTACATTTAGTGGTGTACCAACCACTAAAGCTAGTGATGAAGAAATTGTAGAATTTTACCAACATATTCTGTCTGAAATTGATCAAAACATGGAATCAAGATGAATTTGTAATTGTTGGTGATTAGAATGCAAAAGTTGCAAACAAAGAGGAAAGTAGTAGGAAATACGGCTGTGGTGATGAAAGAAAGCTGGCGATCACATGATAGAATTCTGCAAGAGCAACCATTTCTTGAGAGCAACACTTTTTACAATAAACAAACAGACTATATATGTAGACTTCTCCGGATGGAATACACAGAAACCAAATTGACTACATCTGTGGGAGGAGACCAGGGAGAAGCTCACTATCAGCAGCAAAACGAGGCTGAGGCTGACTCTCGAACAGACCATCAATTTGCTCATATGTAAACTGATGAAAACTAAAACAAGTTCACAAAAGCCAAAATATGACCTGGAGCAAATCCGACCTGAATTTTGGAAATACCTCAAGATCAGATTCGACACCTTACACTACAGACTCTGAAATTTGCCCTTAATAGTAGAGTAACTAAGGCAAACAACAGAAAAAATGATGACGTAAAAGAACTGAACAGAAAATTTCAAAGGGTAACTTGAGAAGACAAAGTATTATAATGAAATGTGAAAAAGACCTAGAATTAGAAAATCAAAAAGTACATGCTCAACATATCTTAAACTGAAAGAAATGAAGAAAAAAATTTGTGGGGAACAGAAGGAATTCTCTTGTCTCCCCAAAATATGTACCAAACTTAGCTGCTTAAGAGTGACTGTGGGCAAAAGTAGGTCAGAGGTTATCCTCCTTAACATTGGCCATCTGTAGTGGCTAGACCATTAGTCTGACTCACCCTGAATAAGACCCACTCCCTT